GCTCGCACGGCTTCCCACCCTTCTTCTGGACGGAGGAGTGTAGCTCGGCGATTCTGAAAGAGTGACTTGGGCAGTTAGGTGGGCTGGTGTAAAACGTCTCGTGCCTCATGCAATTTTTGAGCCTCTTTAACTGTTTACAGAGTACTTTTTTCACAACGCTGATAGACACGGTTTCATAAAAATGTAATAGGCTAAGTATGTTACAGCAGTAGCTGAAAACCCTCATTAAAAAAGGGACCACATCGCACCGAGTTCTTCATAAAAGCCAAAGGAGTCATTGACAGCTTATTTTGTAATATGTTTGTTGATGTTGTGGAGCACAAGCCAAGGTTTGAAATTTAGGACTCCTGAAATATTTATAATATTCCTATAGCAGAAATGGACATGGTTTAAATGCTCTTTGAGAGTGAAATGTTTTGAAGGCACTTGTGCTACAGCTTGTGATGAAATGTGGTGTAGTGCGCTTTCAATCTGCCCGATATGTGGTTTGAGTGGTTTTTGTTGAAAGTGGCACCTTTTAGGAAGGGCCTCTTGGGAAAGTAGTTCTGTTGTCTCGTAACGCTGTAGTTCAAGCAATACAACCATTGCTTTTCCAGCAGTGGCTGATACAGCGCTCTCCTAAAGCATTTCTTGGTTACTAAAACCCAAAATGTACATGTTGGGAGGCAAGGCGGTAAGTTAGGAGGAAAGAACACATCTCAGACAATGTTTTTGCTCTTGACTGACATGTCCTGTTGTAGGGTTGCTCAGCTGAAGTAGCAACATCAAAAATACCATTCTTTGGGGAGGTTAGTGCAGTAATCGTGGAAGAAATTAGTTTAAACTTCTGTTCGTATTAGTGCTTCTGAAGATTCTTGAAGTCCACTGAAGGTTTTGCAAGTGCCATAGTCCTTTTTGGGGTGTTTACATACTAACGTTGAGCTGCAGAATAGAACTTTCATACTGCTTATGAACTGCTCAAAAATAGCTTCTGCTGCTTCGTCAATGAAGAGAATTGTGAGCTGATGTTCCATCCTGATGTGTAATCACAGGAACAATGTAAGCTTTGGCGAAAACTTTCTCAGGGAGAGAATCATGAAATGGCTAATTGAGTGTCTGTTACTTTGATTAAAGGATCTTTGGTCAGAGAAGCACAGTCAGAACCAAATGCCCAAGAGGGGTGCTGTTAAGGAGAGGAGAGAAGTTAGCTTTCATCTGGGTTTTACATAAAATAATACTGTTTTGTATTTCTTCATTTTAGATACTGGCTTTTAGAGATGATCTTAAACTGCAGCTGGGAGAAAAGCAACAAATTCAGGCTTATGTTAAAACTGTGTAGACTAGACACATACAGTCCAAAACCATGTAAAGCATCAGCGTCTTTGGGTTGAAATACTGTTGTTGGGTAAAAATAAAAACTTTTTTTTTTTAAGTGAAAACATGTAGAAAATGTTCAAAACTAATATTTTTTTTAGTATGCGCCTTAAAATAAAGGTCTAGAAAACTGTGGGTGGATAATAAGTTGAGAAATTAAACTATAACAGTTGGATTGGCAGCTGGGGGGCTTGAGGGCAGATTATGAAATTGTTGTTGGTGAAAACAGCCAGATGACGTGCCCATTCACTGGAGATATCTTGGAAATAATGTACACGGTCCTACCAGCTGGCTGACCTCTGAAGCTGTATGTTGCTTTTTGTGCGTGTACATGTGTGAATGGTTTAGGTTTGTTCATTCTTCTGTATTTCAGGATGTGAATTAAAATTCTCACATCTCACATGGCCGGCTTGCATCAGTTTGATGCGTTACTGCTTTGTGAATGGGTTTTGCTGCTGGAAATTCTCACAAACTTTTAGTCCTCGGTCATCGTGTACCGCAGTTATCTCTCTGGCTTCACACAGACACCAAGTGACATCCGTTTTTTGAGGAAAGTGAAAGCAAATTCCTCTAGTGAAACTTCACTCTCTAAAATCTGGTCTTGTCACGTATAGGAGTTTTCTTTTGTCCTCTGCTGTTACTTTTAATTTCGTCCTTCTTGAAGCTGATGGGGACAAAAGAAGCCCGTATATGAAGAGGTTGGGAACATGAACCAGGAGTTTGTGTTACCAGTAATAAGTAGGTAATTAGACAGAGAGGAACTGAGTAGTTGGTAAGAAGGAACAGAGATACTTAAACGGAAAATAGGTTTGTGGAGGACTCTTCTGTTGAAACTCAGGAACCATTGCCGATAGTTAGGAATCGGTTTGATGAATCAACTATTGGAATAATTTTAGAAAGATAAAGGTTGGTAATACTGTGTAGAGGTTGCTTCGTCCCCATTGTACCTCAGCGTTACTTCAGACGTGCAGGGTTGTTTTTTTCAGTGATTTTTCTCCTGCATATCAGCACGCCCCCAGTTATGTAAAAGCTGGTTATTCTCACTGTTCACAGCTGCATCTGGCTGCGAGAGTTCAGTTTTAAAAGAGCCTAGCTCTTTTAACGGATGCTTAAACCTCTCTGTCGGAGAGAGAATGTGCTAGCTGCTGGCTTCAGTCTGAAACGCTGAGTTGCCAATCGCAGACCTGCAACGTTTTTACTTCTCGCAGCGAAGGCTGGCAGCACGACAGCACTGCAGCCGCCACCGTGCAGGACAATTATGTAATCAGAGATTGAAGTTTCCCTTTCAAATATTTAAAATACTTAAGTCAGAATAAGTAGGTGTGTTTGGTTTTGTTTTTTTTTTTTTTAAATCTTCTCGTGTTTTGTGATGTAAATGTTTGATTGTGCTGGGTTATGACTTGTGGTTATGTTTGGAAGGACTCCACAATTGGTGTTCAAAGATGACCTATTTGTAGTAATAATCCCAGCCTGGAGCAGCTGGAGAAGGTTTCGCTAGTAGATCATGTTCTTCCATATTGCCGCTTAATTTGTTTCTCATGCCATCCTGTTTATGTACTCCTTTGGTTTCTTTATTTTTGTTTTAAACAGCTCTCCTAATTTGCTTCCTTCAGGAGCTTCCTTTAAAAAATAATTTTTAAAAAATTGCTTTTCCATCACAACTTTTTTTAGCTGTTATCTTCCTGTCAGTTGCTTGCGATCGGCTGGATGGTTATTAAGCAGTATTATTTGTGAGAGAATTAACTATTTGCAGTGTGTTCCCAGAACATTTCTGTGGTATCTGTCATGACGGAGGAGTCGTGGGCTGGCTCCAGCTTCGTGGGGCTGGTTCCACGTACGTCTCTGGCTACGCGTGTTGTACTGCTCTTCCTGTAATACGAGGGACATGTTGGGTTTAGGTGTGTGATTTCTAGTTCATAGAGAGCACCTGCCAGTGCTCTGCTCTTAAAGCACATCTACCCCATTCTTTCCAGTTAATGCTGTTTATTTTAATAACCTTGAATGTAGCCCTGCTTTAATCGTATGGACAGCAAACATCTTTCTCAATGTTAATTTTAACATACTGTATTTCATTAAACTTAATTCATGGGTGATAAGGATTTGCTTTTGGAAACAAATACAGAAGCTTTGAAAGCCTCTGTCAGTTACCAGATGTGCAGATTTAAATATGAGAGATTAGTTTTAACAAAACGATAGTTTACATCTGCCTTTGATACTTGCTGAAGTTGGGAGTTTTATGTCCATTGTCCGGTAAATGCCATTAGTCACCCAAAATAGCATTAACATTTTCTCTTGTATTTTACAGTGAAAGGCAAAGAACAAGAAAAGACCGCAGATGTGAAAGCAATTAAAAGTAAGATCAATATTTACTTTGTCTATAAATTCAGATATCTAATACCATTTGCCATTTTTATTTTAACTAGTGGAACGATTTCCTTACAACTGAGCACAGATGTGACCTGTGCATTGAAAACAAAACAAACCCAAAACTTAATTCTGTTTCTGAGTATTTATAGTAACTAATCTTTCCTAGTCATCTTGCTGAATCTGTAAGTACAGAAGGTTATTAAATTATGTCAGACATGAGCTTTAATTCAAAGTGATCATGCAATTCAGTCACCTTGCAAATAGTGGTTATTCCTTATCTACAACAAATTGCTTCTGAAGCTTCTTGCTTACATGTAGCATACTTTGCAGTTTTGAAAATGCAGCTGAACTGTGTCTAATTTGCAAAAGAGGCTGCCAGTGTCTGATTTAACTTTGACTGATGTGGCTTGTGAGACTGAAGATCTGAACCTTGGTCAGAATGAATAGCTATTCTAATGTTGCTCCATGTGATACAGAAATCTTGCTGCTAAATCCATTAGGAGGAAAAAAAAATCTTGATGGGAAGGAAGTTTATAAACCATGGGAAAACAAGATTATTTATCCTGTCAGTTTTTATTGCAATATTAAAAGGACATGAGGTAATTTGTGTGAATCCGATCTGTTACTTTGATACCCTTAGACGAAATCCTGTTTCTCTACTTGTTAATGTGTTATCTGGATATCAAGAGAAAATTAAAGGCTTTTTTCACTGTGCTGGTCTGTCTTTCAGATCAAATATAGGAAACAGTAAGTTGCATCCATTTAATAGTACATCCCGTGATTTCAGTGCAGCTATAATCTCCAATGACTAGCTGAAAGAGGTTACGTTACCTGTAAATAAAAATAAATTTGAAAATGTATTGCACATTGTGAGCTGCTGCAAACAGAGAGCATCTTTCCAGTTTGGCAAGCAGCTACTCCCCGATCTGTATGATGTTAGGTTAGCGATGTAGTGCTGTCTGAAGGTTTTGGAACAGGTGTTTGATCCTTAGATTAAGTAGAAAAAAATTTTTCTCAAATGTTCATAATATAAAATTAAATTTGAATCTAGTTCACAAAAGCCTAAGCTGTTATGAGGAATGTGGCTCTGTTTCTACACAAGTAGCCTCCAGGAGGTTTTCCCCAGTTATTGTTATCAGCCAAGCAACTGGCTGCCATCCATTGGCATGGGAAAAAAAATGTGTTTTCTCTGTTATTGCTGGTATTAAATACCAAAGGCTTTGTAAGAGGCGGCAAACAGTGTCTTGGTACCAAACACTGCAACTAGAGAAACACTTTGCAATAGCTTAAACATTTTAACTCTCCTATACTGTTGCTCCTAAGGTATCTGTTACCGTGATGTGCAAGTGTGAAATTGTCAACTTCTGTCATCCTGTGTCATGAAATTGTGAAGAAAAATAAAGTTATGCAGCATGAAATTCATCAAAACCAAGTTGCTTGACACCTTGATGAAACACGTTTTTAGGAAGTCGTGTGCTGAGATAGTGTGTCATCTGACTCGCTTTAAGAGTCAGAGGTGTAAGATGTCCTTGCATGACATCCTAATCAAATGCAATTTCCTGAGAGCTTTTGAAACCGCTATGAGCATGTTTTGTTTTTTCAGCTTTATCATCAATTAACAATTAGTTGATGCTTTTTCACTGGCAGAGTTTTGTGTGGGGAAGTTCTTCTTTGTTCTGTTTGGGCTCAGGTAGCCAGCTGTGTTCTAAAACAGTTAGAGGAGGTTCAGGTTGTAAAACCTGGGTTTTGTCAGAGATATTTCCTTATTGCTTTTTTCTCTTAAAACCAAATAGACGCAAAGAAAATATTTTTGAAAAATATTCTTGTTAAAACTCACAGGGAGCTTTGTAGTTCAGGATTTTGTAATGCATTTTAGCCTTCAAAAAGGTATGGAAATGGATTGGCAAGCACATCATAACTAAACTAAATTGTTGACAAAGTATTAAGCTGTTACGATAGCAGTTATCAAGGAAGCAGGAAGACTCAGGATTGATATTTCATGTATAAACTTAGACTTGGCGTCTTTTGATTAGGTACTGAATGAGGAAAGTGGGTGGGTACTACTGATCTATTGGAAGTGAGTTTATTCTTGCTGTAATAAAACTTATTTATTTCTGTGGCTTTTACTTCTATCAGACCCTTGATCAAAGATGACACACAGTGCTACAGTGAGGTGTGTAGTAAGATTGTCTCTTGCAAACTCTCTGGCATATCTTGGGGTGCTTAGCACTGGATACTGCTTAGGTCTTGGCATCCTTGTCTTTTAATCATTCCTGTCTTGATTCTAGCTCCAATACCAGTACATTCCCCTCAAAGAAGCACTAGAAATCATGCCTTGCTGGAGGCTGCAGGACCAAGCCATGTGGCAATTAATGCCATCTCTGCCAACATGGACTCTTTTTCTAGCAGTCGGACAGCTGCCCTTAAGAAGCAGCCAAGTCACATGGAAGCTGCTCATTTTGGAGACTTAGGTAAGGCTTCATCAGCTTTATAATAATGTCAACATTTCTTTTTGCTCTGTGTGTATTACTGGTATGCTCACTGTCCTTTGGTTTTCAGGCAAGTAGATTAGGTAATTAAAAAATATGACTGCTGTTAAGATAGCATCCATGTTACCCTCGAAGCATTTTGAATGGGGACGGTACATTTGTTTAAAAGAAGTTCCTTTACTTTGTGTACCACCATTATGTTGGAATTGTCTCTTCACCAGTTATAGGGCGTTTTTGAATCGAATACCCATATCTGTAGTACAATATGGAGTCATTGCTTTGATATTTTTCTTTAGGCAGATCGTGTCTGAATTATCAGGCTCAAGAGACCAAATCAAGCCTTTCAAAGACCCTTGAACAAGTTCTGCAGGACAATGTAGCCCTCCCTTATTTTATCCAGTTTATGGAACTACGCAGAATGGAACACTTGGTTAAGTTTTGGTTAGAGGCTGAAAGCTTCCACTCCACAACATGGTCGCGTATAAGAGCACATAGCCTGAACACAGTTAAGCAGAGTTCATTGGCAGAGCCAGTGTCGCCCTCAAAACAGCAAATCTGGATTGCTTGAAGAGAGACTGGAGGATTCTGGCACAGTCTGTCTGCTCAGGACCAACCCAGTGGCTTCGGACAAGAATGACAGAACTGGCAACAGCCAGAACCACGTGCTCTCAGGTCTGGAGAATGATAATACCAGTGTTCTTTGTCTAAGAAAATCTGAGACAGGGACCCATTCTGTTCCAGCTGATCAGCAAGAATCTTCCAAGCTCACAGTATCAAATAGAAACAGCCCCTCCTCTGCACTAAAAGACTTGTCAGGAAAACTAATGAAAAGTAAGTGCCACGTGTTCCCTTTCTTTAAAAAGGTGGGGAGATGGGGAATGTAGTAGCTGCTGCTTACTTTGTACAGTGAGCTGCCTTGGTTCTCATGTGTTCTTAGTAAGCATGATATGATGTTGCGAGGAGGAAAATAATTTTGTATGTCAGTAATGTTAGCTTGCTGTATAAGCTAATGGTCAGTTTGAGTTATGTACTGTTTGACTGTCTGGTTGTTTAAAAATAAATACGCTGCTGAAGAGACTTCAGAATCATTATGTACTCTAATAGGCTTAGGTTACTTCTGTTCCTACATGTGTAATAATAAGAAATGAAGATGAACATTGCAATGTCCCTTTCTTCCCTCACCCATCCCACACCCAACTTAAAAGAATTGCAGAAAATATGGATGATGGGGCTGAGAACTGATAATTAACTTTCCTCGGAAGGTAAATATCCTGTATCACATAAAATGACGTAAGTAATGGTTACAAGAGACTTGTAGAGATTTTTGTGTGGAACATACTGGTTTTGTTCTTGGATTTATTTGATAGAGTTCCTTCCCTTGTAACTGATTTGTTCTCATTTGGAATCCACCTCTTCAGAGGCTACTAGAAGTAAGGATGAAATTCAAATATTTGCTTTTGGTAGTAAGCTACATGCACAGTAACCTTTTCCTCTACTTTGCATCTACTCAGTCCTCCCTCATTTGTGCAAGTCTACAGACAAAAAGGAAACACTCCTTTCTTCATATTGGTTCCTTTTGTTTGCCCAACTATTTCCTTATGTTGCATCCCTTTCTCTTGCTGTTTGTCTTTCTCATATAGTTACTTATTGTATACCTCCACAATACATAACCTCAGCCCCAAAGTGTCTTAAACACAATGATACTTCAGTCATGAAAAGCACCTCTGCTTTCTGACATCTAAAAAGAATTTGAAAGGACTAGGTCCTTTTTGAGGAATCTGAAAAGTCTGCAGTATAATTTTTTTTTTCCTCTTCAAGAGCAGTGTCCCAGCTCTCCCTTGATGATGTGTAAAGCATAGATCTTGTTCTGAGGAATCCCATTTTAAGCTTTTTTTTTTTCTTCTTTTAATTCCTTTATAATGCAAGTGTTTTATATTCTCTATAACGAGAGCTAGAAGTTGGGAACTTCACTGCAGTTCTTGCCGCAAAGGCGCTACTTCTGGGACTAAGGCTAAGTTGAGGAAGAGGGTGCTGTCTTGTCTAGTGGTAGGGAATTGGAGCTATGTTACTTTATTCCATCTCACTAGTCAGTCCATGCTGGGCTTATTGTGACCTGGCTAGAGATAACACAGTCACTGGAGCTTGTCAGTAGCAAAGTATCAGGTAGTGGACTGAAAGCTTCATGGGAAGGAAACTTATTGCTGACAATTAGATACTTCCTTTCCTGAAGAGCAGATGTTTGTTATCCAGTCCTCGTTTTTGACCTGTGCCAAGGAGTTCAAAGTTTGATTCTGTATTTCTTCCTTGTAGGTATAGAACGGGATGCAGTTAGTACTTTTACCAAATATATTTCTCCAGATGCTGCTAAACCAATACCTATTACAGAAGCGATGAGAAATGACATAGTTGGTAAGAATGTATACTGCCTACTCATTTCAGAGCTTCCTCCTTGTCCATAAAAATGTATCTTTAATACCACACACACTCATATTTCTTTTTATTTTTATGAATTTTAAAGTTGGTTGTAAAAAGATAGTAGATCATATTACAAGTATCAGTGGATCTGACCTTTCAGTAGTGCTGTGCAATATCCCCAGAAGAACTTTCAGAGACTTCGCTTAAAATAGTGAAAGAATTCCTGGTGATTACAGAGGCAGTCCAGATTTGAGTCTCAGTCAAATATTTTAGCTGTAACACTATCATTTGGCTATCTGCAGTACTTTAAAAGCTCTTTTTGCACAGAATCAATCAGAACCAGCTGATTCTAGGGGATTTGAACCGCAGTTTTTCATTAACTAGTCACGCTCATGTCTTTCAGCTCACTCAGCCAAATGCACATTAAAATTAACCTGGTCTTTCTTTGCAGCAAAGATTTGTGGGGAAGATGGGCAAGTGGATCCCAACTGTTTTGTTACAGCGCAGTCAATAGTGTTTAATGCAATGGAACAAGAGTAAGTTGCTTGAATGGTTTGGCTTCTTGTGTCTGTTGTCCTTATGCGAAAGGTGGTTCTGTTAAAAATGTTTATGGAGGTATAACCATACAGTCACTTTTTTGTGCAGTTCTCTGTATTTGAAACTGCTCAGATCTCTTCCTCCAAACCCATTCTTGTGATCACTTGCTGAAGTTCTACATGCATGCTGTTGTTACATTCTTTATATCTTTCTTGTGTCATTTGTAAACCTGCTCTGTTTCTTGTTTGTTTTGCTTTTATCCAACTAGAAATGTAACACTTCTGGGGCAAGAACTAATTGATTCCTAAGGTGCCTTGAATGCTGTTGACCCTTAATAACTAATAGTTATTCTGTCTGTGTGCAGGCACTTTAGTGAATTTTTGCGAAGTCATCATTTCTGTAAATACCAGATTGAGGTGCTGACTAGCGGGACTGTTTATCTGGCTGACATACTTTTCTGTGAATCAGCCCTGTTCTATTTCTCTGAGGTGAGTGTTAGGTTTTGGGTTTGGTGGGTTTTTTTATTACTTTCTATCAAATGGAAAAAACTATTAATCCTGATGGCTCTAATAAAGACACCTTGAATATAATAAAAAAGATGAGGTGTACCTTCTGGGAGAAAATGCATTTTAATTTTCACGTTTCCTGCCCATGTGTAGAACTATTTCAAATGTTCAACCTGTACACCATATTGTAGAATGCATATTGTATTCATGCATATCTTCTCCAGTTAGTGAGTGCCTCTAAGTGTCTCTTTGCTTTGTAGAAGCTTTGACATACTCCTCTTAATCTTGCCAATTGAAGGTAGTGACTTTGAAAGCCTTAAGCCTTCTTACAGATAACAAATAATTCACTAGCTTTACATGGAGAGGATACCAGACTAGAATGTGGTAGGTTAAATGTATGATTTTTACAGTTGCAGGGCCCTATACCTTTAGAGAATCATCTGTTTGTAGTATAATACTTGTCCTGATAGTCTGACAAGCCAATGTTCTTTGAAACAGCAAGCTGGGAAGCTGAGACAATATGCTGAGTTCAATGTAAGCTAAGCATAGCATGAAAATAGGGTTTCCTCTGTCATTAGTATGCTACTAAATAAATAGTTCTTTGGAAACTAAATGTGAAAATCAGTACAGAAAAGAAATGTCACAAGTTTGGTTTGTTTTTTTTTTTTTTAAACAAACTAAATCTATTTGCAATACCATATCTGAAAAATTCAGGGTATTTGTATGCCCTGGTGAGAACTTTGCATCATTAATATATGGACTATGTTTCTTGTTTTAAATGGGAATTGTTTTTTGTTTTTTTTTAAACAAACTAAATCTGTTTGCAATACCGTATCTGAAAATTCAGGGTATTTGTATGCCCTGGTGAGAACTTTGCATCATTAATATATGGACTATGTTTCTTGTTTTAAATGGGAAGGAGCAGGTTTGTCTGTGCTTATTAAAAGTTTCTTGCTAAAACTTCTTTAATGTCTCCTCTTTTTTTAATTTCCATTCCAGTACATGGAGAAGGAAGACGCAGTTAACGTATTGCAGTTCTGGTTGGCAGCAGATAACTTCCAGTCTCAACTTGCTGCCAAAAAAGGCCAGTATGATGGGCAAGAAGCACAGAATGATGCCATGATTTTATATGACAAGTGAGGGAGTTCAACAATTATTTGTTTCTGAAGCTCTAATTTTGTGCTTGTAGGTTTGTGTTGCACTGTGCAAAAGGAACTTTTCATTTTCAAACCATAACTGTGCAGTCTTGCACTGTTACGCTGAAATACATTTTACAGTGGCCTTTGATGTGTATGCACACAAGAACTTTTAAAATTTTTGTTTATGTATGAGGAGAAAATCCTTAAGGACTCCTTTCTTAAGCACAGTTCAGAATTTTCAGGACTTGATTGCTTGAGTTTAATGTTTGGTCGTGAAATATCAAAGCTAATTGGTTGCCATTTGAAAATGTAAAGGATTTAAACCTAATAGTAGATGCATTACTGTAGAAAAGCCTTCAGGTTCGGATACTCTTATCCATTTAAAGTGGGCTGTAGGAGCTGTTACCACACATAATAAAAGCCGAATAGTGCTTGTTCTTAGTATTTCAAAATATTTTCCTTTTTTTAAGGAAGCGACCAGATACCTTTTAACATCAGACTTTCCTCTCACTCTCAGTAGTGTAACTTTTTTCCTTTATTTTGTGCTTCACCTTAGCGATAATGCAACTGTCAGACATACATCAAAACTGCTTCCAGAAAACGTTTGTTCTTAAGCTTAAGTGCAAGACTCGTTGCCACGAGCTTGCTGAGTTATTACCCTTGTAGGAAGTACTAATTGGAGACGAGGCACACGATTCACTCTGACTTTTTGTCAGTCATCCCCCCCCCACTTCATCCACAAACTCAGTTGTCAATGATGCAACTCGCAGAGTGATGCTGCTTCAGAGTTCTGGGTGTTTCCTGCTTCATTCCAGCATCCCTGCTACAAAGCTGTGTGCGTAAGATTCCGCTTGTCAGTAGTCACATGGTGCGCTGTTTCTTTTATCTGTATCTTCAGGGCAAGGCTTTATCAAAAATATTTCTGTGAATTGGGGATTTTTTTTTTTCCCTCCTGTACTTCCTGGAAGCGTTCAAAAAACGTGTAGATGTGGCACTTTGGGACATGTTTAGTCTAGTCTACCCTTGATTGGTTTACTGTGGACTTGGTAGTGTAGGTTAATGGTTGGACTGGATGATCTTAAAGGTCTTTTCCAACCTAAACGATTCTGTGATTCTATGATTAGTGAGGATGTTTTATGTATGTTTTTGAAACCGGCACCATCTAGTGGCTGCAGCATGATTAGTGGTCTTTGGTGGAAAGGGTGGGTACTAACCACCTGCAAAGTTTTGCAAATCCTTTTGTGTTGTCTTCTTCCCTTGTCCGGTGCTGCAGGTACTTCTCCCTTCAAGCCACGCATCCGCTTGGGTTTGATGACTCGGTGAGGTTAGAGATTGAATCCAACATCTGCAGGGAAGGTGGTCCTCTCCCTAACTGTTTCACTACTCCCTTACGGCAGGCGTGGACTACCATGGAGACGGTGAGATACCTTCTTCAGAATGGTTTTGACAGTAAAGATGACATGGAGATTCTGCAGGGTGTGAAGTGTCCCCTTCAGCATCTCTGATTTGTCTTGTTCTTTTACTGACTTCCTGTTTACTTGGGTAATAGAACAGCTTTAGTAAAATTTGCTAGACTATTTTCCCTAGCCTGATTTGAAAAGATACCACCCACTGGCTTCTGTTAATTCTCCGTGAAATGTTTGTCTTGGGTGATTATTGCATTTTCATGGAAGTAACAGAATTTCTTCCCATGTGAATTGCTATCAACAGCTTATTATATATCTGTAGAAAATTTTCCTTCCTGCTGGTAGCAGTTGTTAGCAAGTCTAATAGCAGTGGTGTGGCTAATAGTGTAACTCTGGGATACCTGGGTATTAGGGATTAATGATTTGATTCTGGAACTGCAGATAATTTTTGAACAGCATAGCAAAATAACTGTAATCCTATCAGACTTTTCTAGAGGGGAAAAAAATCTGAACTTCAGTTCCAGTTACTAGAGGTTTTGATTAATATGCAGTTATTTTTGTTCATTTTGCAGTAGGATTCAAATGTAAAGCAATGCAGTTGCTAATCCAGAATAATTCCGTGTATGGACACTTCTACTTGTGTACCATCTACACAGGGACTGAGATTTTTGTGTGTCCCTTCCATTCTACAAACGATCTACAGTAATTGTGCAGACCAGCCTTGATTAAAGAGGACTCCTTCTTCTGTCTCTCAGGTTTTTTTACCTGGTTTCTTGTCCAGCAACCTTTACTACAAATACTTGAATGATCTCATCCATTCAGTACGAGGAGATGAATTTCCAGGAGGGAATATTGCACTGAGTATTCACGGCCCCGGTAGCTCTCCTGATAGCGATTCTTTAGGGGGCCCAGATGGTTCTGCCTCCCAGGTATGAGCTTCTTGGTTTGATCCTGTTATAGGAAATGCTGCAGTTACTTTTCTGTATCAATATCAAAGTTCTTACACTGTAAGAAAACATTTTGTAATTTGAAGCTTCCCATTCCACTTTAACATTAAAGCCTGCATTATATTAGGATGTTTAGTCTACCTGCTGCTATGTTCAAACAAACAGTATTGGCATGGAAGGGTATCTATCCTATTTGTTGTACGCAAAGTCTTGTACTGCTTTTAGTTCTTTGCATCAAAGTTACGTTTTTATTAAGCTGTTAATATTCACTGCAGACTGTTTCACGGGGCCATAACATTTAAGAATGCTTTTTACTAGAAATAACTTTTTTTTTAAATCAATACCATAGTTACAACTTTAGGAAAAAACCTGACATTTGTGAATATGCTATAGAATTTAAATATAAATATGCAAGTTTTGTGTGCCTAGCTCTATTAAAGTGCCAGACCTTCTGACCTGAAGAGTCCATTCAGTTGTAGGGTTTAAGGCATCTATCTACTCACACATACAGCAATGCCAGTTAATATCTGACCAGGTGGTGTTTGCTAGTTTGTCTCAGCAGACTTTTCCCTGCTATCATCCTCAAGCTAGCTAGTTGTGCTGGTCTGATAGAAAATGGCCAGACTCCT